CCCCCCACGCCGGGGGGGGGTGTCGGGGTGCTCACGGTGACGGCGGCGTGTCCCAGCTGGGCCCACCCGTAGAGGTCGAGCAGGCGGTGGATGCTCCCCACCTTGCAGCGCATCAGCCGCTCGCCCTTGGCCAGCGCCGGCGCGTCGGGGCCGTGCAGGTCGTTGATGGGGGTGACAGCCGTCAGCCCTGGGGGACACCCCACCCCCCCCACCCCACCCCCCCCAAAAAAGTGAGCCCGAGAGATGGCAAGGGACAGGGTTTGATTCACCCATCCCCGGGGGTGGGGGATTATGGAGCTGGGTTCGGTGGCCCCCCCCAAATGTTTGGTAGCCCCCCCCAAGGCCTGGTGGCCCCCCAGATATTTGGTGGCCCCCCCCAAAAGGGTTTGGGGGTGGCTAGTTGGGGTCTGCAGAGTGACACCTCCCCTCCCAGTTCCCATGATCCCCAATCCCCCCCACACTCCCCTCTCCCACCTTTTCTACTAGAAATGACAAGAGAACAGACCCCTGTGAGATGTTGTCACCCACAACTCCACAAATTAAGACAAAACCCTCAAGAATTTCACTAAACTGTTCCATTCTCCCCCCAAAAAAGCCCCTAGCAGGCATGGCCATACCCATGGGGGAGGTGGGCAGGACGGCGGGGGACGTGGTGGCCATGAAGTCGGCAATCTGCCTCAAGGCCCAGATGTGGGATGAGTTGTTCCCCTTCTTCATCTGCTCCTGGATGAGGCTCTCCAACTCCTCCCTGAAAGACTGCGGCACCCCGGCCCCACTGGCGTCACCTCCCCCGGGGAAGGGACACGGTGACCAAACAGGGACCATCCGGTGGCATCAGGGTGGGAGGTACCACCAGATCAGTGATGGCAGCATCACCAGTTTGGTGGAAGTGGCACCACCAGCTTGGTGTCAGCGACACCGCCGGCTTGGTGGTAGGGTGGCAGTGGCCAACTCAGTGACAGCAGCACCACAGGCTCGGTGGCAGTGACACCACCAGCTTGGTGGCAGGGTGGTGGCACCACCAGTCAGGTGAGGATGTTCCTCAAGCCAACACATGGTGGCATTTGTTTGGGGACATGAGGGATGGGGTTGGGGACACGAGGGATGGGGACCAAGAGGGACGGGGTCAGGTCCCTGAGAGGCGCCACTCCTCACCGGGCTCTGGAGGATCATGGTGACCCGCTTCTTCTGCTCCATCATGTTGAAGTCCTGGCGCAGGTCGGCCGCCATGTTCCGCGCCCGCAGGAACTCGGGGTCCTCCTCGGCCAAACGCTCCAAGTAGCGGGGTCCAGGGGCGGGGGGCGAGGGCAGGGGCTCCGGGCTGGCGGCCGTGCTCATCCTGGCTGCACGGACGGACAGACGGATGGACGGTGTCAGTCCCTGCTGCCTTCACCCCCTCCAGAAATACAGATTGCCACGAAGCCACCAAAAATAGCCCCAGCTGCGCCCCGTAGATAAGCCCCAGCTGGCCCCCGCCCTGCCTGAGGGCACGACCCATCAGTGTGATGAGTTGGCAGGCAGCAGGGACTCAGGGGGAGCATGTCCATCCCGTCCATCCCCCCCCGGCCTGCGCCACTGGGGGTCCCCCACTTCCCCCCGGGGAAAGCAGCAGCTGAGAACGGGCAGCTCAGCGCACCGATGGGAGCCGCAGAGGTGACACCCAGCTCCCAATTGAGGCCACGCGTCATCGAGGGGGTGACACCGCAGTGCATTTCAGGGCACTGCTCACCCCCCCACAGGATATGGGGGCTGGCTGAAGGGGGGTGGGCGCACCCCCCCAACATAGGTCCCCTTCCCCCCCAGGTGAGCGGCAGCTGAGAACAGGCAGCTCAGCGCACTGGTGGCAGCATTTACACCCGACTCGGAATTGGTGTCAACGCTGTGGTGTGTTTCAGGGGACGCAACGAACA